ACCCTGATCCACACCTGTATCGAGGATTCTATAATAATAAGATTCACATATTTCACTGCAGGGTCTAAATGACGAAATGAATAAAAAATAAGAAACCTTAGGTGTTCAACGTCTAGTAAACAGTAAAGAAGTGATACGCAACCGAACCATCACTGCACTGACTCACTCGAACTGATGGCCTGAAACTAAGATGAAACATCTTGCAACCTTAAAAACGAAACGTCAAAGAAGAAATCAAATGCTCAGATCTGGGAGAAACACGTTCTACATAAGCATCACAGCTATAATCGAGCTGCATTGAAGATATGATAGCCTAGCGCAGCTCCGCAGTCAACGTATCGATCGAGGGGGGCGCGCCAGCCACAACGGGAGGCCGCACGCATAGTCGGTCGTCCGACAGCAACGATCGCAAGTGTCGCACAGCATTAGGTGCGTATCGATCGTCAGAAGTGCGACACTTACGATCGCTGCTGTCGGACGACCGACTATGCGTGCGGCCAGATTGATCGCGCCCATCGCGCGATTGGAGCGATTGGTCATGATGGGAGTCATGTCAATCGCGCGATCGTCGCGCGAATCGCGCGATGGTCGCGCGATTCACATTTGACCGATCGCTCCAATCGCAGAGTCTGACATCGGCCAATCCGATGAATCAAGGAGTGACGGGAATGGACGTTCTGAGGCAAAATTTACATAGTGGGAAACTTTTTTCTGAAAGAATCATCCAGTCGCATTTCCAAATCCCGAGTTGGGCAACAAAGGTGAGTGGCGAAGTATTGTTAAGATGTCAATTATTGGATGCCAACTGTCATGACTTTGTTTTGTCAGTATGGTCCTATTCTCTTCAGTGTATGTCTATCTATTTCATGAAATGACGCGTCCCTATTTTTTGATTCTCTGATTACCTTTTGTGTTTTATGTCCAGTCAAACTGTCCAGGTGCCGTATGCTATGCTCCCGAAGGGTTGAGGGACGAAAATTCCTTTAAATTTTCTCTGTCTTCCCAACTGGGATTGCCCTGATAAAGGGCCTACATTTAATGTATGTATGTAGGTTAAAGTAAACATGCACTGAAAATGAAGAAACTACATCGTTCAAAACAAATAAATTTAAAGGAAACTTTGGATCACCTAGCTTCGGGGAAGCATAGCATACGGCCCCAGATGTTACGGGATTCTCTGTTGTAATCACATGACGCGGTGAAGAATCAGAGGTTACCGGCTCCGTCACTGTCACATGGAAGGGGTTTGAGGTGAAGCAGGAGGTGTGCAAGCGATTCGTGGAAAGATGGCGAACAGGTGTTAGTCTACGTGGGATGGCAGCATACAGGTATTAGATCGCGTTGCCATAGCAGTTAGAGAGTCGTAGGGTGATTTTCGAGTTCAATTAGCTTCCTGTTGTATTGTTTGACGTGTATTTATTTCAAATAGCAAAGTTACATACTCTTGAAGGCTCTGTGTTCGCATTTCCTACTCGGTTAGCGATCAGCAGATTCGTATCATTTGCAAAAAACGGTGCTTAGTGAGGTGAGGGGGGGGGGAGCGTTGGAGGGAGAGGAACAACCGGCGTGCTGCGTCTCTCAAGCACAAAGGGTGTGGTCATATGCCGCAGACACCACGAGTCATCACAACCCTCTTTGTGCTTCCACGGCAGGCACACTAAGCTGTGCAGGATAGATTGAGATAGCTGGCCGCATATAATCTGTAAGTTCTCCGCTAGTTCTGCTCGCGTTGCTGTCTCCCATCACCAGGCTGCTGCTGCTACCTATTCTTGTAGGGGGGTAGTTTCTTATTCCATGGACGGTATTACGATGAAAAACTCAGTATTTCAAAACAGCTGGCCTGAGGCCCATGGGCTACGCGACAACTTGTCGGATCACCCATTTTTTCCGCACATTTGTCCAGCATAAGGTTTCTTCGCCAGAATGTAATAAAATCTTGAGTTTAGTATTTACTGGTGGCCCTGAAATTGGAATTTCTTATCTTAATTTAGATTATAGTGAAGCGTTTTCGATTTATCATGGATTGATTGGTTTTCAGCTGAGGCGCACACAGAGTCAGCGCTACTATGTGGTAGTGCTCTTGAACGAGTCAACAGATGATGATGAACGTACCAAGCATACTACACATTGTGAGTTTGGTCCGCTTGTATTCTCGCATTACCTCCTATTCATCGAAGACCACTCAGATTCAAACAGAAGCGGGCTGAGAAGAGCTAAGAAACTCTGTGCTTCATCAGAAGGGATATGTTGGACTTGTTGGGAAGCCGGGTGTTGAGTATTGGTTGCTTGTGAAGCCAGAATAAATGGTGAGAGCAGACAACGGGCCACCCAGTTCCTCCCTCATGGGCGAGCAAAACCGAAAACTGATTGAATTACCGAACTGTAAATATGCTGCTCGTTTTGAAATGAGTTCTTCAGATATGCAGTGAACATTGTAGCATTGCGAACTTTGTGAATCAGGTTGTTGTTATTTTGGTTTTGAATGCATAACTATATAAAGAGTTGATGCTGAAAAAATTTGAGGCCCTTGCTATCATGCGTTGAACTGCTTTTTTTTTCGAGACCACAATGGAAGCACTATAATTTGGAATCTGAGAGAGTGGCTACTGCGTTTCGCACCGCTCAACAGTTATAAATACAGTCGATATCCGAAAGTTGGGGTAGGTGTGTCACCGGAAGTGACGTGCACTTGATAGAAGTTGCGTGGATAAGCTGTTGCCAGCATGCTTTGCTGATATCCAGCGATGTATGTTGGAAGCAGCTTATCCACATAGCTTCTATCAAGTGCACGTCACTTCCGGTGACACACCTACCCCAACTTCGGATATCGAGTATATAAAAATACTCAGAATATGTGTGTCTACGCTTGCTACAAGTTTGTGTTCCCCAGAAGTTTGTAACTGTCGCTTGGAACTTCAGCTGGGAAGGGGGATCATGTTTGGGGCGAATAGAGCATGAGCCAGGCTGCACGAGGCAGGCATGGGCCATAAACTCGCCCAGGGTTTACAATGTACCAATTAGAATTCTGCAAAAAGTCACCCATGATTGGAGTGTCTTTGGATTTGACGTGGCCGTCGGCGCACTTGATAGGAGCCGTGCGGACATGACAATTCTAACATACTCTGCTGGATATCAGCAAAGGAACTCAGCGACTTCTAAGGGCAAATTCTATCAAGTGCGATGGCCGCCACCTCAAACCCATAGACCTTTAATCTAACTTTGAGACATGAGTACACATACATTACATACTCACCCGAGTCTTGGCAGACGTCTTTTGCACTTGTTTCGCGCACAGCCAAACTGATTGTACAGTTATTCTCCCTATTGAATTGAGCGGGGTACTGTCGTATACTAGGCAATGAATGTTTCCTATCGTTGCAAGTTCATAGGGGTTGGTGTTTCAGATTTCAGGGCATAACGCGCCAGAGGTCCCATTACGTAATCAAAGGAGCGATTAGTTCCGAGAGTGTGAGAGAGCTATCCGCATGAGTGAATGACTCGCTGCTCGAAAGAAAGCTACAAGAGGTTTGAGGCGCTTCATGTGTCTTCTCCCTGTGCTTTTCGCTGAAGTACGTCCGACTAACAAAAAGGGGAAGTCTGAATTTTATGATTGATCTGATTTTTACGAAGTTTTTGCTAGTTCTCTTCCCTTTTTCTCCTCAGCGATCTATTTCGATTTTTGCTTTCAGTAAAGGGCGAATAATTTCAAGATGCGTTGCGGCTTCAAAGTGATGGTTTATATAGAAAAAAAAACACTTAAGACGCGAAAAAAATCACCACCATTAAAGTACATAGAAAACAGCTATATAAGACGCTGAGAATGTCATTCTTATAGTAAAGCTTTTGAAGGAGGAGCATCACAATTAACAAAGAAATCAAATGTCTAATAACGCCTTCTAACCAGCCGTTCAACTTAAGCCAGAATCTCGGAGCAAATATCGAGAAACACAACACGACACCACCTTGAAGACCACACATTTAGGCTTATGATAGCGTAGAACGTAGTGGCATTTGACGAACGTATCGAGGAAAATGGGGAGGAAACTCATTTTCTGGACTAGAGAAAAACTATTTCAATAAGATACCTACCAAAAAACAAACGAGACCGGTTATCTCGCAAAAAATTGCCTGCGAAGTCCTATATAGAAAGCACATATTGGCTGTGTGGTTTCGGCAGTGTGACTGCCGAAAATAAAACATCAACAAAAATCAATAAAACATTGCATGCATCAAATCCATACGCTAGCTTTTCAAATCGTGTCACTGACTGACCTAAAAAAGAAGAGTGAATAATGATTGGCACAAATGAAATTTGAAGCAATTTTTTGAGATATGGCTGAGCATCTTAGAAATGTGTTGGTTGGCTTGGAAAACCTGGAACGCGCGCTGCGCCAGGAGATGGAGCAAAGGAGACGGCGCCGGAGGCATTACGTTCGCTTGGAACACGTGCCATTCCTGGGTAACCGCATGAGGACATTCGATGAGTATTTGGCAGTGGCCGATCCCAATCACTTTTTGGAACTGACGAGACTGAGGCTGCCCGAATTCTTAGCTCTCTATGAGCTGATCGCCCCAACACATTGCCCACCCCATAACGCACAGGTCCCTCATATCTGGCAAATGGCGGCTTTTCACTTTCCTGAGGTAATGATTATTCATTAGAGATGCTCATACAGTTACCGAATCTTTGCAGCTTTTTAAGGTTTGTTGGGCAAGGACACAGTTTCACCGCTTTGGGCCAGGATCTTCACTGTGGAAGAAGTACAGTAGGTGAAATTGTTTTTGAAGTGGCACGAGCTATATGCAGAGGGCACTTTCCGGAATAATTGAGACAAAGAGTGTTTGGCCTCGCCACATTGCCCCCTTATACTTTGTCTCAGCAGTGTACCATGAAGCATTTTCCATCGCTGACAAAGGGTGATTTGGAAGAGATCGCCGTCAGGGCGCAGGAAAGATATGACTACCCACGTGGTGTTGGATTCTTAGATGGGAAACATATATATATACAGTATATATATATTATATATATAATATATAAAGGTTACGTAAGACCGACTTTTATCGTTGCGGTGTGCATATAGTCATTGCAAGAAGCCCCACAACTCCGGTAGTAACGTATGGCTACAAAATGATTCTCCATGCATCCTACATTCTGACAGACACGCTTACGCGTTGGACACGGTGACATTTGAATGTGGTGTCGGTATTATTTTTGGCTGGCAGTCAACGGTACACTGCTGGTGTTTGCACGCGCATCTCTGAAATATCGTTAACTCCGTGTTTCTTTTCAACTTTCGGCTTTTCTTTTCGTCAGGTAGTCGTATCGCGTTTCTATTGTGTCCGTTGATTACCCAGCGGTGTGAAATCTTTAATCTTTTCAATGTGTGTATGGTGGCAAAAAAAGTTTCTCTCACGCCGTTTATGACAATTTGAACGTGCTTCTTGGGGAACAAGGGCGTTGCATTTGGTTCCCGCATAAGTTAGGAGCATTTTTCAAATGAGTAAGTTTTCACATGATCTCATGTACGTGTCGAAAGAGAGTTGTTTTCATCATATTGTATATTGTGCCGCTTCTATGTTTATTGTGAAGTTACTAATACAGGCTTGCGTATGGGATCTCCAGTGAAAAGAAAAATAATCAAACGGGCATCCCACGTGTAATCCAGTGAATCAGTAACTTCGCAATGAATATGATATCAGCACCATGCATCTAGATTGAAAACAATTCTCTTTCCACAGTAAACAAGATCACATGGAAACATTGGATCTTACAGGAAAGATTTCCTTTCGAACGGAAAACTTACTGACCAACAACGTAATATAAGATTTCGCTATTGTTCCAATTTGCAATCATTTCCGATTTCCAATCATGTTCCAATTTACACATTATCCCTCGAATTAGCCTTATATTGGTTATAGGCCCGCGTAGGCCACAGGAAGCTGTATGTTAAGATTTCGTCGTTCGATATTTCCTGTACTTCCCTGGTTATTGCCCCATCGGGCTCGAATATTGTTCTGATATGTTGGTTGCGTGGAGACAAAACGTAAGTTCCGTCGCAGGGTATCGAAGATAAAGATGGAATCAAAAGTAGTTACTCAGTTTCAGTCTTTTTAGTGAGTTACACACCAAAAGACCGAAAAAGAAAGATGTCCGCTTCTGAATGATTCCGTGATCGATAGAGATCTTGATAGCCTACCCACCCGCCACTACTTAATAAACGAACATAAAACAACGTTACACGGTTCAATTTCAATCAACAACATCAGTGATTTTCAGTATGCGCCCTGAAGCATTGTGCATAGTATGCGGGTCGCCGGAATACAAGAAGTTGTACGATATTTCCGGAATATTTGAGTTCTCTGAGCCTTCAGCAATGGCATTCTGAATCATACTGTATGTATGAACACACCTTCATAAAGTTAGGACAAGGAGACGCACACCCAGTTTCAAAGCCTTAAAGTCTACATAAATTTGAAGGAAAATAAACTAAAATACGTATCCTAATAAATGCGCAAAATAAAAGAAGTCACATTGCGTCTTCTTTTATACTAGTCGAATTAGTATGCGGAGTCTTCATCATTGCCTGCTCTTACGTTCTGACCAGTTCGGCATTCTTCGTTGGTCAATTATTTCATCTTGGTGCTTATGGTTAGCATCTACACACACGGAAGATGTCAGTTCCGTCAGTAAGGCATGAAGTTTGTTTCTCATGTGTTGATTCATGATCTGTCCATACGCGCCACAATCTTCGAGGTATAAACCAGGGATTTCATCAGTGACCCAGTTTCCGTTCGTAAAGAGGTGGAGATGGCGTGCAAGTTAGACTGGCCTCGCGTAGGTTGAGCGGCATCTGGGATGACCTCCCTCGCAGCGTCCAGACGTTGCAACGCTAGTCCATTTTTGGATTGCTGCTACGGGGAGCCGGGGCAGCCTGCCGGAAGCCGAAAGTTGAAAAGAAAACAGAACTTAACGAATATTTCAGATTGCGCGTCAATACACCGTACGTGACGGCAGCCAAAGAATCATAATTGACGCCACATTCTAGTGTTCACCGTGTCCAAATGGCTCAAGCCCTGACAGACTGCAACAGGCAAATTCTAACCTTTGAATTAGGTTCACCGGGCTCAGTAGGAGATGCAGACGCTTTTAGGAGATCGGGAATAAAGGTGAGTTATTCAAGCGCCTGTTCGATAACCACGATGAACTCTTCCACCCACACGAGAGCTAGATGGGGCCTGTGCAGTACCACGTATTAGTGGACAGCGTCTTTGCACAGCGGTATCGCTATATCAGGCCTTATCGGCGAGAGGACGCGAATACAGAGGCGCACGTTAAACAAGAAACATAGCAGGTAAGTCGCAATTCTTTGCATCATCTGAAATAATCAAATGTTGATCACCAGCGCCCGTCAACAAGTAGAAGGAACATTTGGCCAAATGAGGGGACGTTGGCTTATCCTAGGAACCCGATGGATTTCAAGCCCGAGCAAGTAATGAAAGTTGTATAGCGTCGCTGGTGGTAAGTAGACCTTTTTTAGAGAGCCACAAATTTTCAGACACCTCGGCCTCAAAGTCCACTTTTTAGGTGCTCAACAACGATTATTGGAAGGCGGCACCCAGAGGAGCAACACCCAAGGCATGCAGCCCCTGCGCAAAGGCTAGAGACTCGCCACGACGTGGACATGATGTGAAGCGACTTAGCGGGAAATCTTGCGAGGGAACGACTGACAACGTACTATGCTCGCAGGCATGGCGCTCCCCGCTGATCGTGATGGTTTTTTTAGCACATAATAGGTAAGATTTACTTCGTACATTTTCATTATTTATTTTTCAATTCTGACCGTTGAGTAGCAGAACAATCAACGAAGCTCCCAATACTAGAGATCACTTAATCTCAACTGACCTCTATGTCGACATGGCTCATGCTGCACCACCACTTCTCGTACAGGTGATACCCATCGGAAATTTTGCACGCATTCGACGCCGAGTATCATGATCGTTGCCATCTGCTGCATCTTGACCTCACAAGCAGCGGGACTTGAGAACTCTGTTGCGGAAATATTCTGCGATCCAGAATCCTAGAAGTTTTTCCTTACTATTAGACACATCTGGAAAAACATAAGTTCGCTCACCGAAAAGATGAAAACTCGTCCACTTTAACTGGAGAAGCAGCTGCTGCAGCGTTTGCTGCAGCTGTTGCCGTTGATGCAGCCGCGTTCGCTGCAGTTGATGTCAGTTTCATGTTCCCCAAAACGCTTCCAATCCGTTCGAATCTGCTCGCATAGCTCGCGAACCATCCGCCGTGAGCCGCTCCCAACGCTGAAGCAAAATTCGTTATACGGGCCATTCCCTCTAGAACAAAAATATTCACCTTCGCCACTACCCCTGTTTCTCTTCTTAAATCTCACTGATGAGCGAGGGCTGTGCGCCCCAGAAGAACAAGCTCGCTCTGAGCCTGCTGATGAGAAGGCGCGTTCAGATCCTGCCGAGGAGACGCGCTCTGGGCGCATCTCCACATCCAAACTCGCGGGGGGTCGTCTAGCAATGGAGCTGAGAGGATGCCCCTTTCGTCCACGTTGGAGATTGTGGGGCTAAAATGATCGCTGAGAAATCGCTGAGAAAGTGATGTGATTAAACTTCGCTGTGACGGTGTTGCTAATGTTGCTGCTACGTACCCAGTATAATCCGCAGTATCCAAAAAAGACATGGCTTCTTGGTAAATCCAGTCTCGAGTAGATGCCGACCCAGTCGATGGGTTTTTTCTCCACTTGTAAGTGTCTTTCAAGTTCTTCCAAATCATAGCTGCAGTATCCACTGAATTTTTCCTATTTCCCACAATTTTCCAATTGCCGTGACACCGAAGAGCAACAATGACGTACAGTCGAGCGTAAAACCATAACATTGCATTCCTTTCACGATGCGATTCCATGCATCATTTTTATAGTTTTTCCTTTTAAGGCATCCGATTTAGTATATGCTGGGCTCCAACTCCACACTCGAGGCGCAAGTTTGGGTGCTGCGTCGTGCATGAATCAACTACCTCGATGAGTTCTTCCGTGAATAAGATCAATGTCGGACACTCGCCTATTGGCTTATTGAAGTCGAGTTAATTCCTTGAGAGTTGGATTTCGGTTGTTTTACTGTCTGAGCCTGTTTATGTATTGCATTACCATATTTCTTATCTAATCAGTTACTAGTATCATAATATGTTACTACTACCTGCTACAGGTACTATTACTTGTTTTTAGTGCGCCACCGAGTTTCCGCCGCATCTCTTAGCGTATACAGGAGGTGGCCAAAAAAAAGAGACACTTTGCCTATGGCGCACATCATCGAACTTTTTGTCGCACAGGGCGCCGATGTTAATGAGAGTTTTATGGCGGAATATTCCTAAGATGTTCCCACGTAAGCAGAAGTAGGCCCTTTTTCACTGCCTCCACCGTCTTCAAAATATGACGTCATC